CCCCTCGCTCTCTCTCCCTCTCTTCCCCTCGCTCTCTCTCCCTCTCTTCCCCTCGCTCTCTCTCTCCCTCTCTCTCGATTTCTCTCTTTCTCGAGGTGGTAGCGCTGCCGGACGAGGCTGTGCGACTGATTGTCTATAGTAGGGGTGTCAAACATACGGCCCGCGGGCCGGATCCGGCCCGCGAGATGATTTGATCAGGCCCGCGACATGTAGAGCATAAATCTCTGAGTATGTCAAAAAAAAAAGTAAGCCTCTAGCCATTGTGTTCAGATGTAAAAATGTATTCACTCAACTCTATTTGAGTCATTGTTAATGAATGTGAAATGCATTTTATTTCAATTCCATTGGCCTATCTGTGAATAAATGTGTTGTGCTAATATAGATCTTTGTGGTCCGTGATTATGTAGGCTACACATGTAGGCTGAATGATAAAGCATAGTACTGAAAAACAAAGCTAAAGATTTGGAGTTGACGTAGGTTATTTTGCCATTATTTTACTGGTCCGGCCCACTTGAGATCAGATGGGCTGTATGAGGCCCATGAACCAAAATGAGTTTGACACCCCTGGCTCTATACAGATGTCTGATTGTCTATCAGACTGATTGTCTGATGGTCTTCTAACCCTAGCAAGACCGTTTCGTGGAGCTAGCAAGGCGGTAACGTTTTTATATAACTTCACATAAATGTTTATACTATATGTTAATTCGGGTGGCACTCCGGCAGCCCATATGTTTATACTATGTTAACTCGGGTTTACCAGCAGCGGCCAGCGATGGTAGAAAATTATGAAAAATTGCTCTAAAAAGCTGCTTGTCCGGCAGAAAAGCTACCGGACAGATCTACTTGTCCTCCGTGGAAATGGACAAGTACGGACAAACGGATAGCCCTAGAAATGTTCGTTGGGATCGTTATGAAAGTTGCCACGAGATGGCGCGTACGTTTGAGTGTCTTAAGATTAAAGATGGAAGCTCCCATTGTACGTAGTATAGCAATAACTATTTGCAAGACAGAATAGGTAAGTACTCATCCATTTACCTACGCAAGCCTACAGGCCGAAATAGAGAGCTGCCACCTGTAACTAATTAACGCAGGCAAAAACTACACCGTACTATCACCACCACATGCACTGGCGGTGGCCACTGGCAGTGGCATAAGTTACATATATGTAACATACTGACAGTACAGAATGCCATAGAAATTATTCGATTTAAGGAGCATAAACCTTCTTCAACCAAATTTAGCTTTTGAAATTTCATTGTGACATTGTAGCCTCATACATCCAGGCATGTATAGATTCTACTAGCAAACCCGGCAGTCAAATTCTTTCTAACAGTAAACAAATCCATGTTTAACTCTCCTCTTGAGGGTCAAAAGGTTATCCGACACTTATGTCAGCAGAAAGTACATTTCATGGTCCTTTCAATAAAGCCATAAAAATGCTAGGTCACCGCTGAAACAAAAAAGTTTTTCAATCGCTCCGTCAGACCAGACCATGTCCTCAGAAAATGTCTAAAATCTGCCCTGTGCCCATTGACCTTTGACCTGTGACCTCCAATTTCGGCACAGTGATGGCTTTTCCTACCATGATGCTATACACCGACTATCACGAGCCTAGGTCGAGCCGTTTAAATTTGTGCCGCAATTCTGCATTTCCTCCCTATACCTTAAGTTAAGGATGGAATGTTCCCCCTTCTTTTACACCTCTTGACCTTTGACCTCCAGCTTCGACATCCCAACTCGTTTTGACGATCCCCCCAAACGTCCCGAATATCGTGACCGTACGTCGAGCCGTTTAGATTTGTGTCCAACTGATGACGGACGCACGCACGCACGCACGATCATGCGATTCTACAAGCTGCATCTGACTATGTCAGATGAGCTAAAAATTCAGCCAGCCACGATTTTACCAGATCATTAGTATACTTACATTGTTTCAAACAACAAATTTTTTAAGAGTAGCCTGACTAGATGCACATTCATTCTAGGATGTTTCGATAACCTCTCCAGACAGTTTACGCTGCTACCTGCCCACGATTCTGCACACACCTGTAGTTACGAAGACTGCGTTTGCTGGTAGGTAATCTGGCTAACGATGCCAGCAAATCCTCCAGAATCAATTGCCTGTGCTTCTCATACTTGGCAAAAATCTGTGAAACGAAAGAACAACAGAGTGAATACACTGCACTCTAGTCGATGGCAGCCCAAGCACGTAAAAATGCTGCTCATCATGACTCCTTCCTTACTGTGCTTCGTTGATAACGTAGATCGTTAATAATTGCCACTCGTTAAACCTTTACCTGGTGATATTCACCGGCTTACCTGACCTAGGTACGACGAGAGGCAAAGAAACAATGACAGCGCGCGGCGTACGTACGTTTGTGATTAATCTCAATGCGTTCAGCTGCAGTTCGCTGATATTTTCAACGAAGAAAGTCGTCGTTCCTAGATAGGACAGCTGCAATGCAATGTTGTCAAGTGTTATTTATGACCAGTTGCTCACCAATCGTACTGGGACTCTGGAAAAGTGCCAGAACTTTAAGCGAAACCAGTAAGATATCAGATGTACTTAAGAGATTGAATACGAAATAATCAGTAATGTTCATCATGCACATGGATATGCTCATGAGGAGCTGAGAGGACAGGCGTACACGCACAAACCTGCAACACGGTCGTGTCCGTGAGCGTCTGCATTTCCACGAGGTCAGCGAACAGGCCGACGAGGTCGACGCACTTGTTATACAACGTGATGATGGGTCGCGACGTCACCGCGTGCGCTCGACTCCGCTTCATCTTGTTGCTGGTGGCGAGTGCCTCTGCCGGGGTTAACGATGACGAGTATTAACGAAGAAAACTAGCTCGTCTTACTGGAGTTATACTCAACAGCGCCTCTACCGGGGTTAACGACGAGTATTAACAAAGAAAACTAGCTTGTCTTACTCAAGAGTTATACTTAGATAACCGTTACTAGTTAACAAAGAACATGTAAATGAAATAACATTGCCACCTTTTCCTGCACGTAACCAAAATAGCATTAACAGCTTTTCAATATATTTTCCATGAAATATATTCCATGAGTCCATGGGGCCAAGAGTTTACTATAATTTTAAACGAGAACCCAATTTTTACAGTGACGATACGTACAGGCTATACAAAACATAAAAAACTGATAAACAAACATCCTTCAATAGTTGTTACAATATGGTTATAATTATAATTAATTATTAATTATTTTAACTATTTATTTTCATAGGCACATACCTTTGGAATCTGGTGCTACTTTGTACACAGGGTCGTATGCACCGTATACAGTGTTCTGCAGATGGAACTTGGCAAAAGCTATTGACCCCTCTATCACGTCTTCTATGTACACCTGAAAGAAATGGCTTCTTGTTTATCCAATAACTCACGAGTGACACTGATCACGATAAAGTATAATAAGTGAGAATGCTCATAATAGGAGCCCATAATTGAAGTGTTCCAGCCACCGGCCGACAATAACTCCGCAAAACTTACCTCTATCCACATATTGTTTCACAGACAATATGCATCACAATTACGGTCGTTAGCAAGAGACACACTAGTGAAGGAGCCTCGCATGCTTGCCTAGCAGCAGACCTTACTACTAATTCATGTAATCGTCTTCTTTCCTAGAGGAGCATACGACTAGGGATTTACCTGCTTAGGCATTTTGTGTGACGTCATGATGTAGAGAGCGGTTAAGGCAGCGTCCTGACTGCGCATTACTCTGTCTATGATAATCTCCTGCCACATCATCGCCTCCTGTTCATCATCATGCTGAAGAAACAATCAGTGGACCATCAAGATCCGTGCAGAATTTAAAACCACCTTCGTGTGATAAGAGACCAGTAACAGTATATATAGTATGAGAAGCTACCCATAAAACATATACTGCAAAAACTAATTCACTGCAATAACTAGCAGCGATATAGAAAAATGATGGCAAATTTGTTATGACGTCGTGGTATGATGCATCAACACTGCAGCTTATCTCCAACTCGCCGATTCTTCTCATTAGGCTTCTTAATTCAGGGATGGGAATGACAATTTGTGTTTTCAGCTGAAAATAGCCGGGGTCCAGTGGGGGAGGGGGCGGTCAGGTCCAGGGCGAAGCCTGGTCAGGGGGTTCAGGAAGTTTTTGAATTTTCACAACTTACAAGGCATAAAATTGTATTAGGAGACACATACAGAACAGAATTGTTACAGAATATATTACAGTACACTGCAGGGAGTATATCTTGCACTGTCATTATCACAACACCAGAATTAATAATCAATACAAAAATTTACTTACATTCTGCAAACAAAATTATTTTAATGTACACTTCCACACTGTCCCAAAGGCTAACCTTTATATAATATAAGATGTTCATTCTCCAGGCAGATTCAAATTTGTTTCTGGTCACTACAGTAGATATTTTACCATATTGAACAACTTTAGCGGCTTGTCCTGCTGCCAAGGCAAGTCTGTGAGCCCCACAGTGATCATCAGGAAAGGAAACGCTTTATTTGCTACGCCAAAGGTTGCCCAAAAATCCTCCCTTGCGCGCACGATATAATATTCCTAACACCCTAGGAGCTAGGGCGCGATCGCGCGACATTAATTTTTTTATCGTTTTCAAAGGTCACCGAAAAAGGCATGCAGCTCGCGACACCACCTTTTATGGTTATGTATATATGTATTATAAACAGAACTTCGTTGGAGAGAAGTGAAACAGTTCGTACCTACGTTTCCTACCACGTGAAACAGTCGCAGAGCCTGGGCCGGCTACTTCATAAAACGAGCCTCAAGGCCACGCGTGACGCGGCGGCTTTTGATGTACACGATCGATCGATCGCGTACTATATACGGCCTGCGTAGCACGCGCGGCACACATACACACACACTTGCAGCGTCAAATAAACGCGCACACTGGCCAACGTCTGACAATCTCAAACAGTGAACTAAGCCGTGTCTATATTGTAAAGCGAACTATATTACAATGTTATTAAATGAAGGTACTGTAGGACTGTAAAATGAAAATTTGTACATTCTAACCCCCCCTAAAATTTTCTCTCAACGGATTTAGACGTTTCACAAAATCGACACTAGAACTGTGAAATCCGCGGATTTCCGCGGAAGATTCTCATCCCTGTTAATTAGACACTTCCAAGAAAAACATTGTACAATCATATAGTCTGTGGACGTATTAATAACTCACGATCTTTTCTACCATAAAATACAGCTGATTGCCCTGTACAATAAAGTCCATGCACGAGATCAGATGGTCATCATATTGCTTGATGATCGACATCACCACGGCGCGTAAGGGGGGGGGGGCGTGGTTTCTGCGCGGAGAGACAGAGCACGGTACATACGTCTCCCAGGTTCAGCAGGAGGCGCGATGCATCACGGATGTTCCTCTCCAGCACACCCAGCAGCTTCACCAGCTTGTCGGCAGGAATCTGAATGCCAATCAAACACACGCATATATTACTGTGCGCAAACATGATAGTTCGTCTGACAGACACCCGATCTTTTTACTCGATAATCATCGTCTCCCGCAGTGGTGGAACTGTTCGGCACGCAGTGTCTGAGAAAAATCTCTCTATATTTCTTCGTCACACACGAAGTCTTTTACTCGACAACCCAACTGTCCCTCGCCATTGTGGCCATTGGCATGCAGTGTCTGAGAAAAACTCTCTTCATATTTCCACTCCATCCCAAAAGGCAGTATTGACCACGCTAATCAGCAGAACAGGTTGCAGTAAGTGTAAGTGTGTGCATGCATGTGTGTGTGTGTGTCTACATACCTGGTCTAGGACGCCCATCGTTTTGAGTTTGGCAGCTTCGTGTACGAGATCGTGTAGCGTCTGCCGTGAGATCAGTGCCTCGGGCGGGCACTCCTCCCTATCGTCGTCGTCTGTGGTGGACAAGCAACAACGCTCTGCATTACAACGGCTACCAAGTGTTAGCCCTTCCTACTAGTTACTACCACGTGTAGATGGTGATACGTATTACAATTTACATGCAATAAAGATTTAATAATTATAAATGTTCCACTATGAGTTCTGTGCTGCAGTCACATTACAGACGACTTCAACAGAAAACAAGCTCCAAAAAATCACTGCCAACGCAAGTAGGGCGAACAAATGTGGTACTAGTGGTTGTTGGTTTATTAACAAGGGGTAAGAAATGGGCAGGGGTTACGGAGAGGTGAAGGGTGGCAACAAGCCCGGTACACACCTTGCTCTGCATTGAGGTCCAGTTCCTCCACACTCTCCAGCACAGTCTCTACAGCCCCACTGAATTTCCGGAAGGTGCCAGTTTCCATGAGCTCTGTAACAACAAAATAGATTTCATTATGTAATTTAAAGTGTTTTCTGCATGATGCTAGCAGAACTGCTGACACTATAATATATGAAGTGATGGCACTACACAGTACGTAGTGATTACAAAACAATTGATTGTAGTCGTTTGTTGTCAGAAGATATTCAGCAAAAAACAGTCTAGACTGAGAAATATCAAGACTACTTACCTTCCACTGTCAGGTTGCTCTCTTCTCGTCTCCTTCTATCTTTCTTCTTCTTCTTTTTCTTCCACGCTACTGAAATTATTTAAAGAACGGTTCTTGCATTTAATACTAAACTAGAGGGACATCTGTGTGAGGTCTTTACCTGCATAGCTTTTGTCTGGATGTGTGATACACATACCTTAGTAATGACGAGTATACCAGCTACCATCAAAAAAGTTATGTTTTGCCATCTAAATATTAACATGCATATCAATTTTTTCTCCTTTCCAGTGAGCAGTAGTCTGTGGCCTACAGGCAGCAGAGTTGGATTACAGCAGCTTCTCAAGGCTGATATGTTTCACTTACGATCGGATGGCGTTTCCGACCGACTATCCTGCCCACTGCTTTGATCTTCGTCAACGTGGTTAGACATTGAAAGCTGCCTCTTTCTCTTCTTCACCCTCTCACTGAGGGACATGAAAAAGTTTGGATTCTCCCACGGTGCCATCGGTGAGTCATCATCTACATACTTCCTCTTGTTCTTGTCTGCAGTGGAGAGGATTTAAACGAATATGTAAGACGTAGTTCCACAAAGCAGCAATATAAGAAATTTCTGTTTAAGCATAACCACAGAAATTACAAGAGGAATGTATGAGCACTATTCTTTCCCGTTTCTTAAACTAAAATTAATTGTAGTAATAAATTAAATCCAATAAAATTAACAATTAATAGCTTTCGACCACAGTGATTAAATGAATAGATTATTTCACTACGCCTTTATCACATTAAAACTTTGTGAATTTCAAGAGCAAAATCCCAAACTAAAAGTCAGTAAGATATTGCTATGCAGTTTAGACATTTAATTGCTTTACACCAGTGGTGATATGTTACCCCCTCCCCATTAAGAATCAATTAGATTTTGGTACACAAGCTATGTCACTCGTAATAAAATTGACAAAAAAATTGCCGAGGTCCATCTGAGATTGGAGGGAGCAGTCACCTTTCTTCTTCTTGACACCAATGGGTCCCCACTCGTCGTCGTCATCGTCATCCTGGTAAGCCAGCTTCATTCGTGAGCTGTGCTCCCTTTGCATACTATACAAGTCTCTGCGCTTATGGACATGCTTGCCCGTCAGTAACGACGCATTCTTTTCGGCAATAATTCTGTCCTGTAACGTTGCAAAGTCATCCTTGTCATTAGTTTCGTGGCGGGAACACAAGGTTCCTAACTCAATTGCTCCACAGCTACTGCAGACTTCAATCGCTTTTGAACTTCTATACATGCTATATTTCCAACTCGGCAAACTAACTATGGATGAGTATTGGATTATGAATATATTCAACCTACAACGAATCTTACCTCTTCTGTGAGAGGCTGCAGTATCACAACAGGTTCAGATCGCTTCTTCTGAAAAGTTGATACACAGACAAATATAAAAAATTCTTTCAGAATATGCCATGAGATATCTTTGTGACTCATACCTCAACTTGATAGCTTGACACAACGACTTAGATAGCACACCAGTCTTTTAATTTTCCAATTAACTAATTGAATTTGACGACTAATTATTGTAATCATCAAAATAATGATAGGGATGTTGTAGATCTATGACAATCAATGCATAAAAAATACTAAACACATGTAACCATAATTACAGGAATAGTAAGTATTGTTATCAGAAAAGAAATGCTCTCAAGGTTACCCTCACTGGTGTGGACTACCACTACAGTATTGGTGTGCCCTGGACACAGCACAGACAAACTTCTGACAAACACTGCCCCTCGCTACATAACTAACACCACCCCAACAGCCTACCTCCTCGGCTTGGGCATCTATCACAACCATAGAGTCGGAACCTGACAATCGTTTCTTTGGTGGCGCCTTGTCGAACGTGAAGTCCGCAGAGAGGATGTCGGCGTCGCCGACGTCGCCGAGCTCCTCCATGCTCGGCACGAGCGGCGTTCGTCGCTTCGACCGCGTCGTGTCCTTGATGTACCACTCCGCGAGCACCTCCAGTTCGGACTTCTTCTTGCGCGACTGCTTGCGGATGGCCGCAGCGTGGCTGCCGCCGTGCTTCACGTCGTCCTTGTGCGACTGGTTGTGTCGCTGCTGCTGATGCTGATCGGCGGCGGTGCACGGGAAATCTCGTACGAGCGGGTCGAGCGGAATCGCTGTCGACGCGCAGTTGACGCCGCTGCTGCCGTCGACGCGGTTACAGACCGACGACGCATTCTCGCCGTCGTTAAGACGCGCGTGCTGCAGGCTCTGCTGCTGCTGCTGCTGCTGCGGCTGCTGGTGCGCCTGCACAGGCGAACTGTTCGTGTGCGTGAGACCGCCGTTGCGGGACACGGCTGGCGTCGTGGGACTCGGTGCGACGGGAGCTAACGCGGGAGACCGCCCTGAAGTCGAAAACGGAGCTGCGATGAATTCAGGAGCTTCGATCACCGAGTCAGTATTGGGAGGTATTGTAGAGAGGTACTGCGGGGTGGAGAGCAAGATATATCATAGAAGTAGAGGAACCGACAAGTCGTAAGATATAGAGATGTATATAGGTCATGCGAGATAGAGAGGTGGTGAGATCAGGGAGAGAGAGGGGTAGATAGGTCATGAGAGGTAGAGAGGTAGATAGGTCATGGGAAGTAGGAAGATAGAGTGGCCATGGTAGGTAGCGAGGTAGATAGGTCATGGTGAGTAGAGAGACAGAGCTCGTGCGAGCTGGAGTGGATGAGGTCGATGTCTGCTGTTAACATTGCGTTTAACTTATAGAATTAATTTTAAGCAGCAGGCGCAGATCTGTTATGACCACGGACGACACTTGTAAGTATGAAAAGCAAACATTTAACTACAGATTCATGCTAGCAGAGATATATACTAGATCTAAACGCCATGAATACATCTGGAATAGCAACAAAATAACTGATTGGGTTTGCCTACCTGCATCTAACTGACTGGCTAAGGTTTGCTACCTGCATCTAACTGACTGGCTGAGTTTTGCTACCTGCATCTAACTGACTGGCTGAGTTTTGTTACCTGCATCTAACCGACTGGCTGAGTTTTGCTACCTGCATCTAACTGACTGGCCGAGTTTTCCTACCTGCATCTAACTGACTGGCTGAGTTTTCCTACCTGCATCTAACTGACTGGCCGAGTTTTGCTACCTGCATCTAACTGACTGGCTGAGTTTTCCTACCTGCATCTAACTGACTGGCTGAGTTTTCCTACCTGCATCTAACTGATGTCGGCCGCTGTCGTTGTAGCCCATGGAAACCTGCGTGTTGATCTGGGATGCTGAGCCGGCAGCGTACGGCACGCTGCTGGGTGTCGTGGAGTGTGGGTAGGGCTGCTGCTGCGACCCGGGGAATGCATGCGGTGCAGCAGGCAGCGGAGACAGCCCACTTTGCAGAGGAGAATGATGCATCGGTGGCGTCACCACCTGACCGTTTACTGAACTTGGCGGAGTTGCTGAAAGCATCCATCAGGTCACACACGTAAAGTACTGCAGTCATATTACATATTCATATTCTCGTACTCATATTCATATTCGCATATTCATACACTCATATTCACTGCCAGCTACAGAAGCAATGATTCATATATTGCACAGAAATGGTTTTGATATATTGCATTTATTCCATTATGGAAGTTATTTACTCCATTATCTAAGATTCTAAGTGATGTCAACTACAATACCAAGGATCCCTGTATACACACACCTTGCGATGAAAAGTTTTGAAACTGCTGCTGCTGCTGGTACTTTGAATTGCTGCCAGCAGGGAATTGCTGCTGCTGCTGCTGCTGTTGTTGTTGCTGCTGTTGTTGCTGCTGCTGCAGCAGCTGTTGCTGCTGCTGAGGATAAGGAGCAGGAAATTGCTTGGCAGGAACTGTCTGGGCAGCGCGAGGACTGTTATTAGGCATTGTGTATGGTGACGAGGGCATGTAGCCAGGGCCTTGTTGAGCTGCTGGTACCGCCGGTGTGTTCGGCTGATGATAGCCTGGATATCGACTCGTCATACCTGCCAAAGAATCATCAAATGATGGAGAAAGCTTCACAACTATCGCAAAACTCATCGTTGCAATTTCTGTCAACTTTCAGAGCAGATAGAACCTCTGTGCATGCGACAGCTGGATACGTACCCATCTCCTGGCCGGGAGCTTGATGGTTCTGCTTAAGGATGTTTGGAGACTTGCCTAACACCACCTTGAGTAGTTCAGGAACAGTGCCCTCTATACAGTCCAAGGCCGATTCGTCTTTCATTTCACTGGAATAAATGAAAATGTAACGAAATGAAAATCACTGTGCCAGATCTGTCCAAACCAGTGATGATTTTCAATTTGGACAAGGTCATTTGAAAAATTTGGGCTGGAAATTTTTTCTATCCGTCGCTTCCTCCTACTTGCCACTGGCCTCATTTGTTTCTCACTGCACCAGCTTTTACCAGAACTTCATATAATACTGTTTACCACGAAATTATGGTACCATGGACCAAAACAACAAGGATCTCAAAATTATATATGAGATGCAGTGTCTAGCACTTTTACAAGACAACTCCTAGACAGTGTTAATTTAAAGTTGTAGCCAAATATTATTGTAGATACTCATGTTCTAAGATGTATTAACTTTACTACAAACACTTGTTGTCACGTAAGAAATGGCGGTAAGTGTCAAACGGTTGAGAGAACATGAGAAATTATTACAGCATCTGAACCTCACGATCAAATGTAACAGACAAAGGGTTCTTCCCATGTTGACTCCGTCTGGTATACCTTCAGATCTGGAATTTTTTTTTTGACTTTCCACAAATCGTCTGACATTTCGTAATGCCTAATCAACATGCCATAATTCCCAGCTGCGCTTACTTTTGACAATCCTAACTCAGTCATGCACTGTGTTTTCACAGCTTGATATATATGTATATATATATATATATATATATATATCCAAAGTAATGAGTTTACCTGTGTATATGGGCCACTTAATTGCCCAACATGCCTTCTGAAATTCCAAAGGAAACCCCTGTGACACACTTTGAGTACAGTTTCGTTATTAAAATACACGAGATGTTTTTAAAAAGATAAAAATGTGCAACAAATTTGAGGATTGAGAATTCTTGGCTCATAGTTTTTTTTTGCATACTCAAAAATGCACCCAAACTTGATGGAGTGAAACAACTGAATTACCACACCAATTATAACTGTACAGCAGGCCTGTGCAAGTGTGAAAGCAAACCTAGAACAAAAAGCCACTATTTATAGATTCATTAACTGCAGAAGTAACTTGGGTAGTAAATGGATTACACAGATTTTACAGTTTGCTAATGAATCAATAAACTTTGCTGCTGCTGCTGCTACTGTTATTGCTGCTGCTACTGTCACTGCTGCTGCTGCTGCTATTAATACGGCTACTACTGTTATTGCTGCTGCTACTGCTACTGCTGCTGCTACTGTTATTGCTGCTGCTGCTGCTACTGTTATTGCTGCTGCTACTGCTACTGCTACTGCTACTGCTGCTGCTGCTACTGTTATTTCTGCTGCTGCTGCTACTGTTATTGCTGCTACTGCTACTGCTGCTACTACTGTTATTGCTGCTGCTGCTGCTGCTGCTACTGTTATTGCTGCTGCTGCTGCTACTGTTATTGCTGCTGCTATTGCTACTGCTACAGCTACAGTTATTGCTGCTGCTCCGGCTACTGCTGTTGCTGCTGCTACTGTTACTGCTACAGCTACAGTTATTGCTGCTGCTCCGGCTACTGCTGTTGCTGCTGCTACTGTTACTGCTACAGCTACAGTTATTGCTGCGGCTACTGTTACTGCTACAGCTACAGTTATTGCTGCTGCTACTGTTACTGCTACAGCTACAGCTACGTAACAGTTATTGCTGCTGCTACTGTTATTGCTGCTGCTGCTGCTGCTGCTGCTGTCGCTGCTGCTGTTATTGCTGCTGCTACTACTGCTGCTGCTACTACTGCTACTGCTGCTGCTGCTACTACTGCTACTGCTGCTGCTGCTACTGTTACTGCTACAGCTACGTAACAGTTACTGCTGATGCTACTGTTACTGCTGCTACTACTGTTATTGCTGCTGCTGCTGTTACTGCTGCTATGGCTACTGCTGTTGCTGCTGCTATTGTTGCTAATGTTCCCACTACCATAACTATTACTCAAGGGAAACATGATTGAATATTGAAATTCATTGGTATACAATTTCCCTTGCTTTATGGTGCCATAGCAAAGACCAGGTTATGTCAAAACCATCTAAATAGAGGGTTGGAAGGGCAGTCTATTAGTCCGAAACTACCAGATTTACTCATGGATGAGTAGATTTCACTAACAACTAGTCCAATGGACTACCCGACTAGAGAGAGAGCGAGAGCGAGAGAGAGAGAGAGAGAGAGAGAGAGAGAGAGAGAGGGAGAGAGAAGTAGTATCAGCGTCAACTCAACATAGAACTGTCAGTTTTTGACTAACACAAACGAAAAGTGATAATTTAAATTGTTTCTGTTTCTTGCAAGTTGTTATAAGTTTATTTAAAATAAATACACGTTGATAAATAGCATGGATGCAGCGATGTTTGCTGCTTATGATATGAACAGAACTGTTATAATTTTGAACCAGTAGCAGAATTGCTCACTGACTAGTAGCAAAGTACAAAATATAGTGGTCCGTATGCCTACCAAACAAAGCAAGGTTAATTTCGCCAAGTTCTGGAAATATACATGTTAAACATCAAAAACACTCAACAGAGCTGACCTATATAACACCTTCTATGTCACACAGTCACTATAGCAGGCTAAAAAAAGTGCTTTTGCTCGCATGCTATGCCTGCACACTAACCACTGGCACAGGAAAAAAATTGTGAGGAAATCCGAATGCTTTAAAATTATATTTGTAAACTAGGATGATATCTACTGATAAATCAAACATTGAAACAGTTTCACTAGCTGCAGGTCCCAGTGACCCGCTACTTCACTCACTACTTGCAAGAAAGTTATAAGGCATTGATGCGTAAACAAAACAAATTTGACCCAATTCGATTATCTCGATTATATCAATTTGATGGGCTCGATTTCATTGCCAAGTCAATACTGAAACGAAACGTATCTCACTGGGTGACGGTCCATCGTACCATGCTCTGAAAGATTTCCGCCTCGCGTGGCTCACAGTGGCTCACAGTGGCTGTTACTCGGCACTTGACCCGTGTTATATCACACACGATGATCTCTTTCACTGTGAACCCACATCTAAGCAAAGACTACAGCCGTTTATATCAGTGCTGTGTTTGTCATGGTAGACAACGCTGCTCCTAACCCTTAGGCACAGCATCTAAACATTGACCTTTGACGTCCATGGTAAGCAAGGTGTTTGGCCAGTGACCATATATCCTGAACATAAACGCTGTATGTAAAGTCAGCTGGAGTTAGTTATACGCTATTGTTGAAGTAACGCACGTGAACGCGCACACACGAGGGCGCAGGGGGTAAAAGCTTCCGTACACCGCAATATTGTAGCAGTAACACTTGTAACGGTGTCTCTAGATACGGCTAAGTAAAATTGCCTCCTTTCAATTTTCTAGTCTTTTGCCCTTTGACTGCCTAAACCATCTTCTATCCACTAAAACAAAATGGAGAGAGAGCGAGAGAGAGAGGAAGGGAGGGAGGGAGGGAGGGAGGGAGGGAGAGAAAGAGAGCGAGAGAGAGAGAGAGAGAGACCAAGAGTGGAGTGGAAATTGAATATACAGCTAAAGTGTGAACTATGGAAGAGCCACTCAGTGCATCTCCAACATCTTGAACAAAGTTACAAGAAAAATGCTCCCACGCAAGTAGGTACACTATAGTAGGTAACTAGGTAACAACCGGCAACCCCAAAGATTTCTTCCTGCATTCATAATGAAACTAATTTGGAACAAAGCACAGGTAACCAATAGAAATGGTCATCTGAGCTATAATAACTGAATGTTAGTTATGAGAAAAAAAAAGACAAAATGTTCTGATCTTTTGTCCCTACCACTACTAGTCCCATACGGTGTCTTCCCATTTCGCCAGTTTCCCCATTTCGCCATTTGCCATTTCGCCAGTTTCCCATTTCCCCACTTCGCCATTTTCCCATTGGGGGCAGCCCCATAGAACGAAGGTCTGATAGACCGAATATTGCAAAGGGTTAGGGTTAGAGTTAGAGTTAGGGTTAGGGTTAGGGTTAGGGTTAGGGTTAGGGTTAGGGTTAGGGTTAGGGTTAGGGTTAGGGTTAGGGTTAGGGT